CTGACTGATTTGCAAATGTAGGCCATTTATTACCCAGCCAGACTTCCAAGAATTGAACGTGTGGTTAATAATGAGCCCCCAAACAGATGATGCATCTATTTGTGAGCCAAAAATTCTGCCTGTGAAATCAGACTTTGAACTGAGGTTCTTTGAAGAGTTGGAGCCATAAAAGCTGCATCTGGAATTGCATATCAAATAGGATGATGAAGGGAGAAAAGGTAGAAAGTTTCTGTCTCAGATACGTAACCATTTAATCAATGTCAAACACTAACCTGGACGGTTTTAAAGAGAGGTTGTACAGAAAGTAAACAGTCTAAATGAAACTATTAATATACATATATATATATATATCAGAGATTGGCTACATATCAGGAAAGCTGAATTAGCTTGTGGCTACTTGTATATGCTTACTTTGGTTAATGAATTAATTTTACAAAACACTCATATTCCATGTTTTGTCAGAAATATCATCTTTTATTACAATAGAACCTGCGGTCACATGCATAAATATTGGTGCCGTAAAATATATTTTCATTGATTGTTTACTGGCAATTGACATAAAATTGCATTTCCCATATGTATTTATCAATTTCACTTCATCCAGCTAGACAAGCTGTTTTAAGAAGTGAAACAAAACTGCTATTTAAACACGCACCTTTTCCCTCCCTCCTTCCCCCTTTTATATGGTCAGGTAGTTTAAAATAGAAGCCAAAAAAAAAAAGAGTCTGAAGATAAAATATTGATGTACAACAACTCAAGCTGCATACACAAGGTACTGTTGGGAAAAACTATTCCTAATAGAAAAGTTCAATGAAAATACATGACCTAAAAAAACCGGTGCATAAGAACAAAGCCTGATTTTCAGAGTCCAAATGGCTTTCTGTTGTGAGCTCAACTTGGTCAAATAAATTATGATCTTTCTGGAAGAATAGAGTAATATTTACCTTTCACTCCATCCATTTTCCTATCAGTAACACCTATATGCTTCCCAAGATTTTTAGGATCATGAGATTTTGTTTGTATGGAACTTCAAAGATGGAAAATGAAAACCATCCTGTCATTACTGGTGTTGTGGCTGAGTTGGTAAGTGAAGCCTTGAGGTGGAGATGCTCAACCACCATTTTTCATGAGTATTTCAGGTTGATCCCTCTTGCCCGGCACCTCACCTGCGCATCAGCTTGCGGTTCTAGGTGCTGGGACACCCAGAGGGGCGTCTATGGAGAACTAGAATGAAAATGAATTTTAAATCCACTTTGCAGTATCTTTGCCCACTTGGAAGGCAATAGAGACTGATGTCTTTTACTGCTTATTGAAAACAGAAGGGGAGAATGTTTAATTTTGAAATGGCCATGCAATTAAGATGCCTGGTCCCTAATGACCAGCAAAGAGGACATAGCACAGAATGTATGAATAAAAATCAAGGAAATCCAACGTGTTAGGGACTGACACAGTATAATTAAATTTTACATTTGTTCCTGAAAGGGTATTGGCACAAACTGAGCTCATTAATTGTAAATTAAAGCTTTTATTCTGGCCTGCCTACAACAACCCCTTCTAAAAAGGCTCTGTTTGCTAGATACCAAGGTGGCATTCACACATCTGTTGCCTTATAGAAAGAGACTTGACAGATTCTTATCACCTCAGTACAAATAAAAATGAACATTTGAAATTATGTAACCTCCTAAAGAGGCCTGATTCTTCACTGTACTGTTCTAATTCTTATGGTGTAAATATATATGACATTAGAACTTATACCTTGTATAGCCCTTAGTCTAGAAATTGGCCAAATTCTGTCCACCATCTACCAGAGGTGGAAAATCTGCCTCAGAACTGTGACTGCAGTGAAACCTGACACAATAGAAACAAGGGGAATAGATGATGAGTTCATAGTTTAAAGCAGGTTTATACAACACAGTGAAGCAAAACAAAAGATCTATATATCCTTTAAGTGTTTTATTTATGTGGGTTTTTTAATTACTCTTATACCAGATCTTTAGCCATAGCTCTCAAACATTTGTGAAAGTTACCATTATGCTCAACAAATATTGGCTAGAAGCCACCAAAGCCAAGTGATCTGAAGATAACTAAAACACATTAGCGACCGCTATGTTTGTTGCGAGTTGAGCACAAAATAATTTTTGGAAGAAATGACAGCTTCCTCTGCTTCACCTGAGGCATCCAGATTCATAATTAAAGCATGGGGTTCAACTCATGAAAACTTAGCCCTTTAAGAAGCCATCTGAATATCTAGGTGCTTGTGTTCCCCCCCCTCCAAGTGTTGGCTCAAGGTATGAATTAAGTGTTATCCTTAATAAGGCATCCATGCAACTTGGCTTAAATAATGCTTTAAATCCGAAATAGCTGACCTGGCACTAGTTCTGAATTGCAGCTTTGCTGCTGAGATTATTAAACTAGTACCATGACATCTGTGCAGCCACAGTTTCCGTTTGCAACCCATCTGCAGCTAATCTAATCATCCCATGCAGTCACACATTGCTTTATATCCTCAACTAGGTTAACTGAGGTGGAATAATTGAAGCTAATTGTTGCAGCACAGACAAGCCCTGGATAGATTTAGAACATTAAGGCATTACAGCACCATGTATTTATGCTAGAGGGCACTCATATTTCATTCTGAGCAGTAATAGAGCTTGGCATTTGTATAGCATATATCTTCAAAACATGGTGCCAACAGTAACTTTCAAGGAGTGCTGTGAGGTAGGTGTGTACATCAATCCCTATTTCACAGATGAGGAAACTGAGGCAGAAAGGTTAAGGCATTTGACCCAGATCACAGCAGGAGTTAAAGGTTGTTTAACACAGGTGTTAAAGGATAACACTGTGATCAAGACAACTTGAAAATTACTCTCCTCAAAAAAAGCCAGCTCATGATATATATGGATCCTTACATCTATGTGTGTGTGCAGATTAATTCTGGATCTGGCTTTTTATTTTTAAAACCACAGACTTTGCTTTCTTATTCTAAAATTTTGTGACAAAAATATATCAATTTAAGGCTTTAGGAAGAGCACTTAAAGAGCTATGTCTCTCTCCCTGGCTCTCCTCTGCAGTGCCTATATCAGTAACAGATCATTCAGTAATAGGCTGAACTTTAGAGACACATGAACCCCATAGGTCTCATAGAGTAAGGTCAGCTTGAGGATTTTTTTTCATTTTTCCATTTTTCCTACCCAACACCTATTTACTACCCGTTGAGAGTTTTACTCCTTCATTTCCAACTAAGTATTCAGTGAAGTATTGCAGTGATGTCTGCAAACACAACAGGTCATGAGATTCTGCCTCCTCCTCTCCATGGTGTTACACATCTCTAAGGACAGAAACCCATCTCAGAAGACAGCTCCTGCCACTGAGAGTTCACCGCTTAGGAAGGAAAAGGCTGAGTAGGAACAAGAAAATGGAAGTGATTTCTCTATGGCAGAAGACAGGCAAATTTTGTCTTGCAGGGGCTTGCAGCCAGATGTCAAGACTTCTTGCCTAGACACACTTGTCTGAATGACTCCACCAACATGCATATTTTGTGAGACTCTGAAAATCAACTATTTCATTTCCACAGTACAACTCAACAAATTCTGCACATATTCCAGGAGTGTTTCTTAGGACTGTTTCATTTTGCTTCCTATGATCATTCATACAATTGTGTTTTTTAGAAGCATGTTCTCAGAAAGCAAATACCCTGCTATTCAACACAGATGTGTTCCTGAAAAGCTCAACTGTTACATTATAGTGAATTTTCTCATGAGAGTCAACGTAATGGAGGGATGCATGCTGGGACTCACAGAATAGACACGGTTTAAACACACAGGGACAACACCTGTGGCATGAAGAATGGAGAGGCAGGAATAAAATCAGTGAATGCTTTTCAGAGGAGATGCTGGCTTTCTACAATAGATAACCTTTCTGAAAACTCTCAGCCATTTCAGCTATGAGACTGTACCCCTGATTCCCTGTTTTGTCACCCATTACCCTTGACTGTTTTCGTCTTGCTTCACCTGAAGACAATGCTAACAGCTATGAGAATTTAACCCTTCAGAAACAGGCAGCATAAACTACATCCGTCTCACAAGCTGAGTTCTTCTGGAGAACTGAATGACAAGAAAGGCTGAGAGAGTTGGGGTTGCTCAGCCTGGAGAAGAGAAGGCTTCAGGGAGACCTTATTGCAGCCTTTCAGTACTTCAAGGGTGCTTATAAGAAAGACAGGGACAGACTTTTTAGCAGGGCCTGTTGTGACAGGACAAGGGGGAATGGTTTTAAACTGAAAGAGGGGAGATTTAGACTGCATATAAGGAAGACATTTTTTACGATGAAGGTGGTGAAATGCCGGAACAGGTTGCCCAGAGAGGTGGTAGATGCCCCATCCCTGGGAACATTCAAGGTCAGGTTGGACGTGGCTCTGAGCAACCTGATCTAGTTGAAGATGTCCCTGCTCACGACAGGGGGGTTGGACTAGATGATCTTTAAAGGTCCCTTTCAACCCAAACTGTTCTATGATTCTTTGATTCTGTGTTCAATCCTGCCACTTCATCCAGGAGACTGAACTTTCAATGGGAATATTTCATTGCTAACATTTTTGTTGCCTCTTTCTGAACAGCTATATTTTCATTGTCATCATCATCTTCTTCGTATGAAACAAGATCATTTAAGTGCGAGGCGTGAAAAAACGGTGTAATGATGATGGTTGCCTGGTCAGGGTATTGAGAAGACGGGCTGGAGGACCAATGGAGAAGCAGAGTATTACTGCAGTCACATCACAAATATGAGCTTTCAGAAACCACATTGCAAAGAAATAGGTTTTGATATCACTGTTGGTACTACTGAACTGGGAAAACACAACCATCACCATAAGTGTTATCTGACAAGTAGCCAAAGACAGTTTTGAGTAGTTGCTCTCAATGAACAGCTCAGAACAAATTTTAGCTGTCAAAATTATGGAAAAAGTTAAGTATATTTTTGAGAAAATGGCAATCTGCTTATGGACAATCTGGGCAGACTGGGTATGTTGGGTAAAGTATACATTGTGAATCATAGTTGTTCAGCTCTTGTAATAGTCTGGAAGTCTCTTAGGATTTAAAGCAAGCTGAACAACTGACAATCTTGGAGGAATTCAAGTGTGGTTTTACAATATCTGGTTCAATAGACTGAACTGGATCACTCTCACTAGCAATTATATGTTTCACCAAGCATCTGGAAGCTTCATTGATGTTTATATTTTCCTGCAAGTGAAAGAGAAAGAGAGGTTGATTAGTCAATATTAATTACACCATGCTGCATATTTCCTGTGCATAATTAAATTTTTGTCCAGACAACATCAAAAGTTTACCTTCCTTAATAAACAGCTTTCAAAAATTGACTGTATTAAATGCTTACTGTAGTTTTTAAGTTAGTTTGGTTTTTTTGTATATTATGATTCTTATCTCCTTTAAAATATACACAGAGCTCACTTTAAATTACCCCAAATTCCTGGTGATTTGATTGCTTCAACAAACTAAACAAACAAATGCCAGAGGGATGTTAAAGACAGATGCCTGAAGTAATGCTCCAAAATCCATATTTTACTGCTGGAATAATGGTTACTCTGATTTTCAAATTATTAATTACCTATCAGCAACTACAGCCATCAACTGCACTTATTTTTTAAAGCCTTTTCCACAGTTTTAGGAAGATTTCTGTATACAATGCTCACAATGAACCTGTGATGAACCAGATTCATTGAATAAATGATACAATCTCAAGTTATTCACAAAACCATAAAAAAGTTCTATATCATTTGGAGTCCTCACTTATTTTTTCTTGAGGCTGAGTTATCTCCAATGTACTGCTTCAGAAGAGCTATGTCACCATTGGTTTCATTTGTAAGACAGAAATCCTCACTCTAGGGGTCTAGAACAAGAGGCAAAGCACGTCTTTTTCAACATGTGCCTTATTTCAACAGCACGTTTAACTTGCAGCAACCCTTACTCTGTTTCTAGAATAAGCAAAGCTGAAACAGCCTGATCAGTGAGACACAGCTCAGCACAGCATATAAAATAAGCAGTAATACTGAGTAAGGGGGTTTTTTTTAATGTCAGCCACCAATACTTTTGGAATGAAAAGTCAAGCTTTCTGGCATAAAAGACACTCTTCTACTCTAACCATTGGCATTGATTATATGTTTTATATGACAGGAGATAGAAACCTCACTGTAGCTTCAATCTTCTGGGAAATCATATCACACACCCACATACATACATATAGAAATGCATCCAAATATATATGTATATATTTAGGTATATTCACATACTCCTCTTGCTTCATAAAGATCATGTTTTATTTGCAATCTAAGACTGACCCAGGTTTCCAAGCTGAATCTGGAGCCTGTTGTACTGAGACCATAAACACCCATGCACACAATGCCATGAAGTCTACCTTCAGCAAACGCTTGGTATCAATGCAGCACCATTAATAAAATAACCTGTAAAATTTAACATGTAAACATTTTTTTTGCATGTGTGTGTTCAAAAAAGGTCAGATGAGATGTTTAAGTATGAAGTTCAGCTATAAAAGAAAGAAACCAAAGTACACGTGTGTGTGTTTCAGTAGAGGTGGTGCAATTATATGAAGATCAAAAGCTAACATGATGGATTCTGTGAGGCTGATTTCTAATCCCCCTGAAATGGCAAAGCTCCACAAACTGCATTGACCATCCCTTTGCACCACAGTAAAGAGCTGAAATCTGGGGATTTAACTGAAAATGTTAATTAGTGCCAAGATTTCACAGGTTTCTTCAACTACACAAGTGAACTTAAATATTTGACATTTGACCTGTAAAGAATATCAGCTGGTTGTAAAAACCCAAATCTTTAGACAAGTCATTTACATACTAACCCCTAGAAAGTAATACAAAGCTGGGAATGAGCTCTGTACTGAGATGTTAAAATGTTACTATATCACATGGCTCTCTCAGACCAGACAAGCAAATTCCTCAAGCATGCACCAAAAGTCTTTTTCAGAACACTGTGAAATTTTATTAGAAAAAAATAGACAATGAAAAATATCTCTCAGTACTGCTTAGAAAGCTCAAGACAAAACAGGGTTGTTAAATGCACAAAAACATACACGTAAAAATCTTTTCCATTGTGTTTTCCTTTATTAATGGACTGATAAGCATTTCATTTACCCATGTGCTGCTTCTCTCTTGGGATGGCAGCATGCATTTTTTCAATAATGTCTTAGTGACTAGCTGAGATTGTGTCCAAATCGATTAATGTTCAGATGTATTAACAGAAACTCTCTTTGTCAGAGGCTTAAGATCAGCCTTTTGTAAGAGTGGGAAAGGGAGAAGGCACCCAAGCCCACAAAAACATAAAATGGGTATAGGTGGACATCCCTCATTCCAACTGGTGATGGATGGAAGTCCATGTGCCAGACCCGAGCCTAAAAATTCAGAACGAAAAAACAATTCTGTTTTACTTCAGCCAGAACTCAAACCAAAGTGAAATTGGATTATTAAACCTCTTTTTAAACCTCTTTTTTGGGGAAGAAAGTCTAATTTGAACATGCAAGTATTGTTTTGGCATAAAAAGTCAAAATATTTAGCTTTGGGAATATGGAAATTAAAAACTACTCTTTTTCTGCATTGCTCTTTTTCCTTAATGAAATGATTTACCAGATTTGACCCATATTCCTTATTACATTATTAATTGCATTTTGAATTGAGTTTGCTGTTTCTCTGGTATGTGTCCGCCCAGGTCTACTGAATATCTGTAAGGTGGGATTAGATACAGATAGAGATCATGCCTGACTCTGGCCATTCCACTTGAAAAGGCTTCTACTTTCAGTCCATGCCCACCTTCCTCTCTGCCAGGGCACCATCCCTTCAGACGCATCTGCTGAAGTTTGTGACTGAGCTCTTACTTCTTCAAGCAAAATGTTCTGGTTTGCAAGGATTCACTGTTCAAAGCATTTGCACCCATGCAATTAAAATTCTGCCTTTTGTTCTCTACAAGAGGAAAGGAATAAAAAGTCCTGTCCGTAGCATGTGTTAGATCAGAGAAGCATTTACTTATCCTGAACATTTATATGAACTGTCTAAGCTGTGTGGATGAAAATTTCTGCTGGGGTACAAAGGGAGCAAGAGAGGAAGGGTGACCCCGGCAGACAGCACAGATATTTTTGAGCTTGTGTCTATCTCCAGCCTTCTCCCGTGGTTCAGATGGCCAACAATATCCTGGGCTGCATCACAAGAAGCGTGGCCAGCAGGTCGAGGGAGGGGATTCTGCCCCTCCACTCCGCTCTGGTGAGACCCCACCTGCAGTACTGCGTCCAGCTCTGGAGCCCTCAGCACAAGACAGACATGGACCTGTTGGAGCGGGTCCAGAGGAGGGCCACAAAAATGATCAGGGGGATGGAACACCTCTCCTCTGAAGAAAGGCTGAGAGAGTTGGGGTTGTTCAGCCTGGAGAAGAGAAGGCTTCGGGGAGACCTTATTGCAGCCTTTCAGTACTTAAAGGGGGCTTATAAGAAAGAGAGAAAGAAACTTTTTACCAAGGCCTATTGTGGCAGGACAAGGGGGAATGGTTTTAAACTGAAAGAGGGGAGATTCAGACTAGATCAAAGGAAGAAATTTTTTACGATGAGGGTGGTGAAACACTGGCACAGGTTGCCCAGAGAGGTGGTAGATGCCCCATCCCTGGGAACATTCAAGGTCAGGTTGGACGGGGCTCCGAGCAACCTGATCTAGTTGAAGATGTCCCTGCCCATGGCAGGGGCGTTGGACTAGATGACCTTTAAAGGTCCCTTCCAACCCAAACTATTCTATGATTCTATAAAGATGACAACTGGTACAGATGAGAAGTGACACGTTAAGTCACTCGCTGCAAGGAGCCTGTGCTCATGCCAACAAAGCCACTCCTGCAGTCCCAGCTCTATGCCTTGACCACTTCCATTCTGATGCTATTATTGCCTTTTGTTACAATCCTAATCCTAAGGTGTCTACTCCATGTCCCAGGTCTGTGGCTCAGACACGGCTGTATTCTGGTCTGTCTAATGAAATATTGATTTCTGCACCTCTCCTCCTACAGTGTGTTTTGGGAAAAAAAAAAAAAATCAATATTCTGCTAGGCAGTGAAGCAGCTACAGACAGTAGAAAGTGATCTGCTATCCAAACACAGACACCCAGAGACCTGGTAATTTTAGAGGTGTTGAAAGGCAATCTAGGGAAGGGCAGAGAAAAAGGAGCAGGTGAAAATCCACCCAACAAATACAAAGAAATCGACAATCAGACAGTAAGACTGGACGGAGTGGAATAACCACAGACTCCCTACTAATTGTATTGAAACATGGAAACAGCCCCAATTATGCCTAAAAATAAAATTAATTATGTTTCAAAAAAGAAAGAAAATATAGGTGAGACAACAGAGTGAAACGATGTCTTCCAGTGGGTCTCTATATTGAAATGCCTTAACTGGCATCTCCCTTATGGCTTTTGTTCTACACAAAACACCACAGGAATTGTGATGATTGCTGCAGTTCAGACTCTTTTCTTCCTCCTTTCCTTGACTTGCCTTGCCTTGCCTCACCTCTTCTCTCTCTTCTTCCTCTTCTCTTCTCTTCTCTTCTCTTCTCTTCTCTTCTCTTCTCTTCTCTTCTCTTCTCTTCTCTTCTCTTCTCTTCTCTTCTCTTCTCTTCTCTTTTTTTTGTTTTTACTGATTTCCTTTCATGTTCTGAGCAAATTCTTTACGTAGTACTGAGAGGCCTACTCTGCCTTCTTGGTGGAGCCACTTCTGAACGTCAATATGTTCAGGGGTTATCTAGCTCTTGACATGGTACTAGATCACCTGTAGTGCTGTAGCTTGTTTTGCAGCCTGCTCTGAGGGCACTTTTATCTTCACAGTTCTTCAAACACTGGGGAAGGTCTGTCTACCTATATTACTTTTAAGGCTGCTATTACTCAGCATTGTATCTTTGATGTGTTTATCTTCACAGCATCTTTCTGTGATAGGGAAGTGCTGCTATGGCCATCAAATGAAGAAAAAAGTTTCCTCCCAAACAGAGAAAACTGCATGAAACCTGGTCCAGCACATAATGGCTAGTTGGCAAGTGGGAGATGGCATAGTTTGAAGTCTTGTCATGATAAGGTAGGAACGCAACACCGTTCTTTCCCAAGGCTTGTGGGAGAGTTTTTACTGCAAGACCAAAAAGGAAGGATCTTACCCATATTATGGTGCCTTTGTTG